TTTTTGGTCTATATCAACTTTCTTGAGAATCTGCATTAACTTGTGGTGTTGGACACGATCAAACGCTTTTTTGTAATCTAAAAAGCATAGGAACACATCCTTCCTCTGATCGTAACAATTTTGGACCAGTACCTGTGTTGCTACTATTGCTTCTCGTGTTCCTAAACCTTGCCTAAACCCGAACTGTGAATCACTGATGTCCCATTCACATTTTTTGTATAATCTTTGATGTAGTATTTTTAAGAATATCTTTAAAGTGTGACTCATCAGGCTAATGAGTCTGTGATCCTCACATCTTTTTGCATTGACTTTCTTGGGCAGGGGAATAAAGGTAGAGCGTAACCACTGTTGAGGATAGCAGCCAGTTTCATAAATTAAATTAAATATTTTGTGTAGTGCTGAAATTCCCCTTTCATCTAGTAATTTGAGTATTTCTGACGGGATCTCATCTGGTCCAGGTGCCTTATTGTTTTTTGAATTTAATATTGCTTTTTCTATCTCCTCTTTGGTGATTGAAGGGCCAGTCAGCTGGTCGTCTGTATAAACTTCACTCATGGGTCTTTCGTCATGGAAGAGCTCCTGGATATAATTTTCCATATATCAATTTTCTCCTTTTCACCCAGCACTATCTGGTTATCCTGATTAACTATGGTAGTTGGTCTTCGTTTTCTGTATATTCCAGCAGTCTCCTTAAGCTTTTTATGTAAATTACGGTCGTCGTGTTGTCTTTGTAAATGTTCTAGATCGATACATTGTTGCTTAAGCCATTCATTTTTTGCTATTCTTATTTTTGCTTTTATTTGCCTGTTAATGTTTTCATACATATTGCTGCCATCTTGGTTATTCTTGTGTCTTCGTCGTTCTTCCATTAGTAATAGTATTTCTTCTGTCATCCATTTTTGCTTCTTGTTATTTCGTTTGTACCCTAAGTTGTTTTTCATGATGTCTGTTACAGCACTTGTAATCGTATTCCATGTTGGTGTTATATCTTCGGTAATGTTTGTCGTTAATATTTGAATTTGTGCGTTTATTTCATTGCTTATTTTTGCTTGTATCACTGGGTCTTTCAGTTTATCCAGTGCTATCTGTTGTTGAGTTTCAGGCTTGTTCTTGCATGAAAGAGCGATCTTTATGACGGCCACTAATAGTACGTGGTCAGAAGGGACATCTGCTCCAGGGTATGTGCAAGCTCTTTTGACAGTTGTGCTGAATCTACCGTTTATAAGAATGAAGTCTATCTGGTTTCTTATTATGTTATGAGCTCTATCGGCTGGAGATTTCCAAGTATATAGGCGACGGGGGTGGAGTTGGAACCATGTGTTGGTAACTCTCATGTTTTCTTCTTGACAAAATTGTATAAGTCGGTCGCCCCTTTCGTTCCTTGTTCCAAGACCATAGGGTCCAACTATGTCTTCAAAGCTGCCCTTACCTATTTTGGAATTAAAATCTCCCATAATTATGTTGACATCATGTTTCTTTGTCAATTTAAGTAGTTCTTTGATTTCACTATAAAAGTTTTTTACTACTTCATCTGATGCGTCTGTAGTTGGTGCATAAACCTGTATGATGTTGAGATTATTTGGCTTCGCTTCAAGTTTTACTAAGGCTGTGCGGTCGGAATATGGTACAAACTCTGTGACAGCTCTCACCAATCTTTTAGTTATCATAATCCCGACACCTTTTCTATGATCGCGGTCATCATTGCCTGAGTAAAAGAATGTTCCGCTTTCTGTAGTGCATTTACCGGATCCAGGCCACCAGGTTTCTGAGATCCCAAGAATATCTAGATCTAATCTGTTCATTTCTTGAGTTAGGTTAGCCAGCTTTCCGGCTTCAAATAAGCTGCGTGTATTCCAGGTGCCTATCTTTAATGTCTTTCTTAAGTTTGCTCGTACGTTTGAAACATTCAAGTCCGCTCCCCCCGGAGATCCGATTGGGGAACTATTTATACCTCCGGATAATTTTGAGTTGAATGTATTCATGTGATTGTCTTGGGAAATATAATGAAGGTGGTATCCCGTTGCCTTCCTTCATGCCGCTTCAGGGCTTAGTTTTCAGCCGCCCACTATGGAACAGACGCCGTTTGCAACCGCCCATTCTGGGTACAGACGTTGCTATTTTCACCATATCTGGTTACCCTCACTTAGTTTAGCCTGCAGACTAATGCAGTTGCCCAGGGTGTGGCACGTGGAGCCATAAGTGAGAGTTGGGTGTCTTATGAGGACCAGTAATCAAGAACCATCTCCCGTCTATGACGCTCGATGTGGTCGTTCCGATAAAAGGTACTACCTCTATAACACAACCCTACACCCTATATGTATTAGTGTGTAAATAAAAACTGTATTAAATAAACTGTATGTAAATAAAAAAAAATTAAACTGTAAATATTATCTCCGGACGAATAAAAATGTCGATGATATTGACTGTAGTGTTGAAGAGACAACTCCGTACACTCATACCCTTGCTTTAAATTTCCGTGTGCACACTGTGGCATTACTGGTGGCCCCTTGGGCATAAGCCTGTAAAAAAACGGTTTAAGTTGTTGAAATTAATAAATAACATAAAAATCTATATGTAGTAATGCTCACCGTTTCGATTTTCGACCTTCTCTTTTCCATGTAGACTTATCTATAATCCTTTTACGCCCTTTCCTGTCTGGTGCCAAAGTTATTTCTTTTTCTTGACAATCCATTATATTATTTTCTCAGAAAAAAACAGTAAATAAACAAAAATGAACAGAACACAACACGTGCGCGCATACAGAGTGAACTATTCAGACTGAAAGATAGCTACGTTTGCTGAGGTGATAACATGTCATAGAGCGCTGTTTGCAAGTTAACAGCAACATAGCAATTTTTGAAAGTGAATTTCTAAATAAGATAGCGACTTTTGCAAGAGTCTTTACTGCATGTTCTTTACTTCGTCTTATTTAGAATATAACCAGTTTTGATGGAGTATAATAATAATGACACGTTCATTTCAATAATGTTTACACTCTCTCTCTTCAATCCTGACCCCCCCAGGAAGAGTGTAGTGGTCGACGTGATGTCGTGTATTGTTCGTCTCCAGAGATCTCTGTCTCTGGTCATTTCTTTTAATTCATGCATAGGTCTTTGGCATATTCCTGTAATTTGATCTATCCATCTTGTTGGGGATCTTCCTCGTGATCTTCGGCCTTCTACCTTTCCTTGTATTATGAGTCTTTCCATATTTTCTGTGTTTGCTCTCATAACATGCCCAAAATATTTTAATTGTTGGAGATGGACTTTACTAGAGAGTCGTTGGCTAACTTTTAGCTCTCTTAAAATTGAATTATTTGTTCTGCGGTCGATCCAAGGAATTCGTAACATTCGTCTCTAACAGAACATTTCAGTGGCGTCTATCTTTCTTCTCTCCGATTGTCTCAGAGTCCAAGATTCACATCCGTAGGTCAGTATTGGGAATATTAAGAAGTTGATCAACCTCATCTTTATCGCTCTTGAAATTTGACAGTCCTTCCTCATTTTCGTCATTTTTGCTATGGCAACTTTTGCTAGATCAAATCTACGTTTAATCTCTTCTTGTAATGACCCTGTGTTTGTGATTAATGATCCCAGATATAAGTATGAGCTCACAACCTCGAACCGGTCAATTGTGGTTATGTGTGGTTGATTGCTGTGTCGTCTATCCACTATCATGATCTTTGTCTTTGATATGTTTAATTGCAGACCAAATATTTGACTTTCGTTTTCGATTAGTCGTATAAGTTCTATCAGCTCTGCTTGACTATTTGCAAGAAGGGCTGTGTCATCTGCGAAACGTAGGTTGTTTAGTTTATGACCATTTATTGAGATGCCCTTTTCCCATCCTTCAAGTGCTCTTCGCCTAATATACTCCCCATATATGTTGAATAATTGTGGAGATAGTATACCTCCTTGTCTGACACCCCGTTCTGGATGAAATTCGTTCGAAAGTGCGTCAAGAACTTTAACTGATCCAGTAGTGTGTTCATATAGTTCGGTTATAAGCGTAATTAGATGTTGTGGTACGCCTACTTCTTTTAGTATTCGCCATAAGTGTCTCCACTTGACCCTGTCGAACGCTTTACGGTAATCTATAAAACAGATGTATAGTGGGATGTTGAATTCCCTAGATTTCTCGATTATCTGTCTTATATTCAGCAGGTATTCTCGAGTGCCTCTACCTTTGGTAAATCCAGTTTGCTCTCGTGGAATTTCTCTTTGAAGGAATGTTTTCAGTCTCTCATTGATTATATGTAGCATTATCTTGCTGGCATGGGATATAAGAGAGATAGTTCTATAATTGTCGCATTTATGGAAGCTGCCTTTTTTATGTATGGTCGTTATTGCAGATTTTGTCCAGTCTTCAGGCCACTGTTTGGAATGCTATATTTGGTTACAGAGTAGATGAAGTAACTTTACGCCGGTTTCTTCTGTGGCTTTAAGCATTTCTGCTGTTATCATATCTGGACCTGGTGCTTTGTTATATTTGAGCTTGTTGATGTTTACACATTGGCGCCATTAAACGAAAATATATATATTTTTTAACATAGTGTGGTTTGCAAGTGGACTACTCAAATGATAAATGAGAAGGTCATGTGATTGATAAAACTGGCACATTAAAAAGAGATAGAGGGACGCTTTGCGTCAGTTTTCTCTGTCGCACTGGGGGAACACGGCTGTATAGCAGCGTTCAGTCTATTTGTATTATATGCCTATGTATGAAATTTTACGAACTTAATCTAATTTAACCTGAATAATGTCCTAAAAAATGTTTTTTACTTAATCCTATTGATTGATGAAGTAGTTGGCTGTTACGGACCATTTTAAAATTGTGAACATGGACGTTCCACTTTTTATATGATTCAAACTTAGTTTTTCGATCGATATTGAGTTAATATCTGTGTAAATTGGCTGACTTTTCGATCAGACATACAGTTTGAAACCATTATACCTATATTAGAAATCCTGACATTTCGTACTTATTCTTAAATGTTTTAGTTACATGGATGAAGGGTCTTAGAGATATAACCACGAGCTACAGATCTTATAAAGAAAAATCTGATGATTACATGAGATTGACATTGAAAAGAATATCAGCCGAAGATGCTGGCACCTATTGTATTTTGGCCAAAAACTGCCACGGGTGTGATAGAGCATTTTTCACAGTTAGAATTAGAGAACGAGCTAGATCTTTAACACCAATAAGGAACCAATCTTTATTAGAATCCCAGTCTTATCACGATTTTTATCGAGAAACCGGTAAGTAAGGAAAATGTGTTTGTGTAGCGTCGTTAATGTCTCAGAAGTAACTGCATGTTCGGTTCATTGCACATGAACAATAATCAAAGCATGAATACTTTGCTAACTGTTCCACCATCGAGAGCTAGATTAGACTCCAGCTTCATCATTATATGTTAATCTTGTCATTCGAAGTCATGACACTTGTCTATTGAAGTTAAAATATTTTTGAAGATAGCAATCTATAAAAAAGAAACAGTATCACGGGAAGATGTCATAAACTTTTTGCTATTTGTATAAAATAATACTGAACTAATTACAAAGCGTACATACAAGATGCTTTGGAGCGATTTGGATTCGGAGTCTACGAATCCCTAAAAGAATATAAAAATATTTAAATTACTTAGAAGATAAGCTAAAATTAACAGTACCAAGTTCTAAAACTAACTAAAATAACATATACAAAAGACTCCAGTCAGTACAAGATAATAACCGCAGCACCAAAGACATCAAAATACAGATAGTAGCTGGACAGGGGCGAGTACTATCTCCGTTACTCTTTAATGATTACAATAAAGCGCTATTTAAAGAAACGTTCTTATATTCAGTAAATGTTTATAGATTAACTACAGAATAATATTGGCGACAGTCCAAAAAGTGGTTTATTTTACGATACACCCATAACTCTATTGCTACCGGCAAATTTCAAAGAGTTGCAAGTTTCTCGTGAAGATGAAATCGTTTTCTGTGCAAACTTAACACGTTAGTAGAAAGGTAAACACTCGAGGACACTTTAATCTTTGAACCAGAGGTCAAAAGTTAAAGTGACCTTGAGTGTCTACCTTTCTACTCACGTATTTTTGAAAAACTGACGTTCCGCGTTGCTCACAGGTAAAGACAAATTTCTATATTTTTTTGGTCGTACAATTTGGATTTCTCTAAAATAAAATAGTTAGAGCATTTCTTCAGTGTCATAGACTTAAGTATTGTGTATTTTTACAGATACCGTATAATAAATAAACTTAATATTATACTAATTGGCAAACAAAGTCGCAGTATTTAAGAAGAATAAACTTTAATCTAACGTTTCAACCTTTAAAATTTGAAAAATTTATTAAAACATTAGCACAAAAAATAATTATGTCTAAAAAAATTCCTTACTGAAATGTCTCTTGAATATACACCACAAAGAATAGATTCTTTATTGTCAGAACATTTGTTATACTGACAGCTATACTGAATTTTGTTTACAAATTTTAAGTTATAAGAGCTTAAAAATAACGTTGGCAATCTTTAAGGTGCGTTGCTGACGACTTGATTTAATAGTAATTTTATTTAGGGTCGAATTAATGATATTGTCGACATATATCGACAAAAATGACATTTACATAGTGAGAAATCTCTATAAGAACCAACAGGCTGTGGTAACATTAGATGGAAATAGCATGGATGCGCAACAGATAAGTAGATGAGTGAGACAGGGCTGTGTACTTTCACCATTACTGTTTAATATATATTTCGAAGAGTTATTTACACAAGCACTTAAAAACTGTTCAGAAGGGATCAAGATTAATTATGAAAATATAAATAACATCCGTTATGCTGACGAATAGTTAATATCGCTGAAAGTGAGACAGATCTGCAGACGTTACTAAACACAATGTGTGATACTGGGAAATAGTTTGTTTTAAAAATAAAAATAAAGAAAACAAAAACCATGATTATCAGTAAGAGGGGCAAAGTCATTATAAGGATCCAGATAAAAAATAAAGATATTGAGCAAATGGACAAAATGAAATACTTAGAAGTCTGGATTACGGAAAATCTGAATCCGAAATCAGAAATTCGCTCAAGAATAGAGTAATCAAGAGCAGCCTTTTTGAAGATGAAGAAATTTCTGAGTAACCAAAGACTCAATTTGCAAATCCAATATCGGATGGTAAAATATTATATCCAGTCTATTCTTCTTTATGATGTCGAAGTCTGAACTGTTAATGTTGACTTAATGAGAAAACTGGAAACTTTTGAGATGTGGCTTGTTAGAAGAATTTTGAAGATACCATTGACCAATCACATTTCGAACGAAATGGTGTTGCATAAAATGGGAAGAGACAGAGAACTTTTAAACCACTATTAAAAGGCGAAAGACGGCATATTTGGGGCAGATGCTTGGAAATGATAAGTACGAGTTATTACAGCTGATTATAAATGGTAAAATCGAAGGAAAAGGGGGTCCTGGTAGACGACAAATATCCTGGCTGAAAAATATTCGCTACTGGACCGGGTTAAACATACAGACGCTCTTAAGAAAAGCAGAAGATAGAGACGAATTTGCAATGGTTATAGCCAACCTTCATTAGTGGAGACGGCACTAGAAGAAAAAGAAGTCAACTAAATAAAATTAAAATTTCGAAAATGATAATATTGAAACAATAAGAATAATTAAGTCTGCCTTTGCTAAGTAATTCGATGGTGTTTGCTAATAAAACTGTAAGTAAATTATCAAAAGACTCTTGAAGCTTTTACGAAATCACATAACTGTTTGTCATTCATCTTCAATAACTGTGATGTGTATACATTATATATGTGTCTTCTTAAATAACATTCATTTAATAACACAATAATTAATTTACTCGAACATTCATAAACTTAACAAAAATTCGCTCTTTATAAGCATATTTTAATCTTCTATGTTTAGTATGTTACTATGTGTTGTATATATACACTACTCTTTAACATTAACGTAGGTATCTCTTTCAATTATTGACTCTTTAAATTATTGACACTTTAAATTGTTTTCACATTCTAAAACTGTCGCTATCCTATTAAAAAAACACTCGTATTCTAAGGTTATTTCGTATTTTTACCTAGAATAGTTATCCTAAGTATAAGATAAATATAATAATAAAATAATTTGTTACAAATAAACTCAGTATAAGCTAGTTATAAGTATTCTCACTTTATTCCGAAATAATAGTTTGGCAATGTCGCAATCTTTTGCACAAATACATAGAACAAGGACATATTGAGTGACATCTGTCAATTTTGATTTTTCTTTAAAACTGAATGACAACTGACACCATATATATCTTAATTTGTTATCTTATATGTTGAATTTGAGTATTTTAAAATTTCAAAAAACCTTACACCATCTTTAGAAACCCGATATTTTATTCTAAGTAGAAGAAGTATTCTGAGTAAGAGTAGAAAATTACATAACGAGAGTTGTAAGAAGCTTATTACATGCGAGTAAAAAAGTTGCGCGCGAGCTGCGTAGCAGCGAGCGCATTAATTTTACAAGCATGTAATAAGCTTGAGTTGTAACTCAATTTGTGTACTATACTTTTTCGACGATTATTTTCGTTTATAAAAATAAAAATTAAATTACCACTATATTTACACTGACAGATTAATTTTTAATCTGTCAAAATAACGTCTGTTAATTCGTTTCCATGGTAATTCGACCAACTGACTTACGAGGCTTATGTGATGTTACACATTTTTATAAAACTGAAGCGTGATTTTTTTATTACGTACTAGTCATTACGTGTCAGTATCTGTTCTGATGCATTTACTTAGCATCCAAATAGTAGGTAATATACAATTTACTAGTAAGAGAGTAGAAAAACACTTTTTTCTACTCTCTTACTAGTGTCTTTTAAATCACCATAACTCTGGTTCTAAGGGTCCGAAACGTTTCATTTAGAGTACAAATTAAAGGTATTGAGATCAACTATTTACTAAAATAACTTTTAAAAGAGTAGCTTATTTCTAAATAAAAATGTAACTCATTAAATCGGCAAAAACCTGTTTTTTTTTTTAATTTTTCACTTCCTTATACTACTTTAAAATTCTGAAAAAAATTTGTTTGTTTGTTTGTTTAAAATTTTCAAAAGCCCAATTCAATTTGAATTTCTAGTCAACTTTCATTTTGGTTCAAATATTTTTGTAGTGCATAAAAAAACTTTTATTTAGTAAAAAAGAAATCTATTTTAATAAAAAATTAAGCGAGTTATCGCCAAAAAACGATTTTTGACGTTTTATGGGTTAATATTCAGGTTATGTGCCAATATTTTGTGCTAAAATTTAGTGAATAATCTTTTATGGTTAATTTTCCGCTAGGACAATTTTGAAGTTGTTATATGGCTATGCCCAATGTGTCACTTTTCCATATAGTTTTCCTGTCTTCATTTACGGTTTATAAGTAAAAAATGGCATTTAATCTTTTGCATACTTGGGTGCATACTAAGAAGAAAATCTTTCATTTATTTACAAGCTATCTGTGTTTGATTTGTGTTATAACATACCAAGCTTCCCCCTAGTTACGCCAATGGATACTTGGCATATTTTCAGAAATAATGTACTTAACACTCCCTCGTACAAACTGTTGTTGAAAATATAAACATATATTATTATCATTAACGTTGATATTAACCTGTAAAGTTTTGCATAATTGCCAAGTTTTGGCAAATATGCAGAACTTCACCTAAATATTAAATTTAGCCACTGCAGTAAAATCCGTGTAGCTATGTAGTGTTCTAAAAATGTATACATTCCCTAAATGATCATCAATTTAAAGGAAATAAGTAAATTGGAAAAATAATTGGCTATTTTTCTGTATACGATGGGTATCACAAAAGTTTTTAACGGTGAAGAAACTAATTGGAGTTTGTTCGACTTGTCACTAAGACACTTGAGAGATGTGTGGTGTTCTAGAGTTTGTGTTATATCGGACTTTCTTAAAGATCTGGTTCAATATCAAGGTAACATTTAATACTGCCATAAATAATTTTCATTTTTGAACAATTCATAATCACTAGCACTAAAGCCGTAAACAAGTTCCTCCTGTCAAGTCTTCCCTATGTAATCCATTGAAAAGTATTGCTACTTTGTCGAACCAATAATTGTCCTTGCAACCTCACCCACAACTTCTTTCTATGTAAGTTTTACCCTATATCTAACTATTTTGCCTGGGCTGTACGAAGAAATCGTCTGGTGAAGTTTTTCTATTGTGTTGTTCTTATATTGTATCATCATCTTCTTCTTCTTCTTCCTCTTTATAGGCAAATATGCTTGTTCGTCGTCACTCTATCTTTCGCTCGCTCGTCTGATATTTCTTCTGCCGATTGGTGACTTATCTCTTGCTATTTTGACAATTTTTGCTATCATGTCTTCCCCATTCTGCTTATGTGGTTATTCCATCCTTTTCTGTATTTAGTGTTCTTTCGTTTATACACTGTACGTTACATTTTCTTTTACTGTCTTCACTTCTCTTTCGATCTCTCAGCGTATTTCCTGTAATTCTTCTCAGTACTTTCATCTCTGCCGTTTCTAGTAGCCCTTGCATTGTGGCTGGTTTGTATGGTATATGTCATTATTTGTCTTACACTGGCTTTATATCCAACACCCATAGTCCATGACTGGTAGAACACAGACATTGTAGAACAATAAAACTGTTTTGGGGTCAGCACCCCATTTTCTGTTGATAATACACCTTAGTATGTTTATTTTTTTTTCACAGTTACCTTTGACAAGTTAAATGTGTTTAGTTCACAGAAGGTTATTATCTAACTAGTAAATTTGTGGAGGATCCAATAAATTGTTATCTACAGTCAGTCACTAAATTTTTAAAATAATAAACTTTTTGCACATAATCCAAGTAAATATGAAGTATGATTTGGTGCACTTCTTACCTGACATCTTGGTTTTTTTTTAAACATGGATGATCCCTTGATCCAATGGTTGCAATTTGGAAGTTGTATTTACCGGAAACAAGTAGCGTTCCACGTTGGACGATGTAGGAGGACTGTTGTGTACAGTGCAATTGTCTAAAAAATAGTTAAATTTTCCGCTTTTGCCGTTTCATGTCCTCATTAACTGTTAAAAACCAATTGTTAAAAACTTCTGTCGTCATTCAAGCTTTTTTGTCAGCACGATAATCCGTAGGAAACGATTTCACATCTTTGAAACATCGCGGTTTCATTGCTTTTCCTATCACTAAGGGTTTAAGTCTTTCCGATTCGTCCATATTTACTGCAAGTAAAACTATCAACCTCTCTTTACTATGTTTTCCCCATGACATTTTCCATCTTTAAAAGTAACCGTCTTATCCGGCAAACATTTGAAAAATAGGCCAGTTTCATTAGTATTAAATGTCTCAGGCATCATAGTTTTCAATCAATCTCTTCAATTTACCGTGCCATTCTAAGCAAACTGCATCATCAACACTTCCCTACAAACTTTTTTAAACACAACTCCATTTCTCTTTTTGAAATTTGTAAGCCACCCTTCACTTTCCGCAAAGTTTTCGATTTAGAGTTTTATAGTAGACGCAAACTCTTTTGATTTTTTCTTCAACAAGTTTCCGCTAATAGACACTTTTTGTCCTCTATACTGTCTGAGCCAAATGACCAGACTTTTTTCTAGACGAGGAAATTCACCTTTAGTAGTTCTTTTCCGTACTCGAGCAATTTTCTCCTTGTGCTTTATTATGGTTGAGAGAGTACTCAGAGGAATCTTAAATTATTTTGCAACATCACTTTTCTTCTCACCTTCCTCTACTTTTTGGATTTACTTCTTCTTTCCAGATTACAGGCTCCTATTCTAGTGTCGGACAGTCTTATTTTCTTATCTACGTTCTTGTTCTTGACAAGGAATTTGCTGATTAACGACCTGCGAGTCCTTGTCTTCTTCTACGCTGCCGGATCTTGGCTTCTGAAAGCCATGATCAGTAACGCCGTTATTAGTTTCTAAAACCATGGATATCCATGGGGATTGTTAATGTAGTAGTTTCCCCTTGCCTTCTTCATCCTTATGCCGTTGACCAAGATATGGGTTCATGCACATTCGGGACCGATTTCTCAACCTCAGGACAAAAAGGGTGCCCTACCACCCACCAATTCTTCCCCTCAGAGCCGTTGATTAGCAAGTGTGGGGTTGCTTATAACGGCAATGGGTCGGTGAAATTTTCACCATATCTGGCTACCCTCACTTAGTTTAGCCTGCAGACCAATTCAGTTGCCTGGGGTGTGGTACTTGGTGCCATAAGTGAGTTAGGTGTCTTATGAGGACCAGTTATCAAGAGCCATCTCCCGTCTATGACGCTCAATGTGGTTGTTCCGATAAAAGCTGTTACCACAACCCTACACCCCATAAAAAACACAGTATCTGCTAAAAAATCGCCAAAATTCAGTATTTTTCGGAAGAGATAAAAAAATTTGACAGTTCATCATTAGTCGAAGTTAAAAAAACTTTAGTAAGAATGATACAATCCAAGATTTTATAAATTATTTTTTATAACATGTCAATAATCGAAAAAGCTAACTTCGCTCTTATATAACAAAGTGTAAACAAAATACTAATATTTAAAATCTACAATAATATAGATGTGCCCAGTCCGATTCCTGGTCCACCTGTTGTCGTGGAATCGGGAAGAAACTGGCTATGCCTGTCGTGGGATAAGCCAGTCCAGACGACCAGTATTCCAGTCCTTGCTTACCGGGTTGAGATGTGGACTAGAGGAGCAGAAGGTGCTCGATGGACTGAGGCTGGAGTCACACCTTTAACATCTTTTGATATATTCAATTTGAAGGCAGAGACGGAGTACCAGTTTAGAGTTACACCGAGGAACAGGTATGTATTAATGTAATTTCTTAAAGTGGAAACAAAAAAAGGATAAATGAAGAGTTTTTCAACAACCAGAAAGTATTAATCCTCATTATTTGTTTTTGTCCCCTTTTATAATAATATACCAATATATGATCCTGGAAAAAATAAGGAAAAAAGATAGTAATCTATTTCATTTAATCTACTAAGAAGATAAATTTTTAAAAGACAAATTTAAGTTAACCTGCCTAACCCTTACTAATACGGAATCCGGTGTATGATTAATTAAAATTTTGCTGAAATTACTATTATTAATATTGATATACTGATTTACCTTTCATTCCTTTTTACACAGGTTCATTTACACTGTATTCATTTTCTTATTATGATTGCTTTAGATTGCACTAAATTTTACTCTTATATCCTAGATATGGATGGGGAGAGAGTGTCCAAAGCGGAGTTCTCACTTTAGGTAAACCAACTAGCTTACCAGAATTTACAAAAGTTCTACCTGGACAGTTGAAGGCACTACTTGGAACGGAAGTTACTTTGGAATGTGAAGTAAGTTTAAATTAATACACTATGCATATATTTGTGGTTAATGCTATCATAACGATAATTTTCTAGGTTTAGCTGGGCATACGTTGACCAAGTCCACCTTTCGATTCCTTATTTGGAGTCATCTTCCAAACTTGTTCTTGTTATTATTATTATTAAATCAAATTCTTGGTTTAGGTACAAGGAGAGCCAATACCAACTGTGCGCTGGTTAAAGGATTTACAAGAAATATATCCACAAGAAGACCAGCGATATCAAATATATCAAGAAAGTAGTATTTGTCGGTTAGTGATAACGAACCTTCAGGAAAGTGATTCTGGAAGATATATGTGCGAATCTATAAACAAAATCGGAAGAGTGTCTACATTCGCTAGGCTTGCGGTGGTCAAAGATCCTAAAATTCTTCTTGCCGATTCTGGATTAAGATTGTAAGTTCAAATCATGAATGTGTTGCTTGTGTGAGTCCATTTAAAATAAGTAAAGAAATAATAAGTAAGCCTTACTCACAATCAATTTAATTTAACTATCAGACGACCGGTTTCGCTTTCTACAATATGCAAAGCATCTTCAGGTCTCGATACAAAGTTAAATAAATGCTAAAATGATAAAAACCCATATTAGGGTGTTGTCTAATAAAGATAAACAAATTAGATGTTATAAATTACAATAATTATGCCAATATTACATGTCTGTGGTTTTATTTCAAAATAAGTAAATTGAATAAAAAGGTATAAAAAGTTTTAAAAGTTTAAACAGACAAGGTAAGACCCACAAATTGTTATAAAATAGTCTATTAGATTGTAATAAATTAATAAATGAGCAAATAAATAAACATTACTTACATGCCGGTACTCTATAAATTGATGGATGCTAGAACATGGTTGAAACTATTATGTATTGTTGAATGGAGAACTTAATTGTGCTATTGTAGTTGTCTGACACTAAACGGGAAGTTCTTGAGGAGATAGATTTGATCAAAGGAAGCAGAGATATGTGTGTGATTGTTTGTTAAATGAAAGTGATGTTATATACCATTGTATTATTTAAAAGTTATTTATACTTATTTGAGAGATATATTTATGAAATGTGTGTTATTTATTGAGTAATTGTTTTATGAAGGTGACAGTTTTATGACAATCGACCAAAAAATTGTCATAAAACTGTCACCTTCATGAAACATAAAACAATTACTCAATAAATAACACACATTTCATAAATATATCTCTCGAATAAGTATAAATAACTTTTAAATAATACAATGGTATATAACATCACTTTCATTTAACAAACAATCACACACATATCTCTGCTTCGTTGGATCAAATCTATCTCCTTAAGAACTCCCCGTTTACTGTCAAACAACTACAATAGCAGAATTAAGTTCTCCATTCAACAATACATAATAGTTTCAACCATGTTCTACCATCCATCAATTTATAGAGTACCGGCATGTAAGTAATGTTTATCTATTTGCTCATTTATTAATTTATTACAATCTAATAGACTATTTTATAACAATTTGTGGGTCTTACCTTGTCTGTTTAAACTTTTAAAACTTTTTATACCTTTTTATTTAATTTACTCATTTTGAAATAAAACCACAGACATGTAATATTGGCATAATTATTGTAATTTATAACATCTAATTTGTTTATCTTTATTAGACAACACCCTAATATGGGTTTTTATCATTTCAACATTTATTTAACTTTGTATGGAGACCTGAAGATGCTTTGCATATTGTAGAAAGCGAAACCGGTCCTCTGATAGTTAAATTAAATTGATTGTGAGTAAGTCTTATTTAATATTTCTTTACCTATCTAAAGGTTCAATTTACTTTTATATCATCTTAAATTTGTTAAAAATATAACTTATTGAAACAATAATCAAACTAGATAAAATGGGAGATAAATAAATCGTATGAGGAGCATGTAAAATCCTAGGTTTTGTTCCTAACTGATATTGTGTATCAATTTTAAGGTAAATATTTGGTCCACTGTTGATTTTACATAGCTTTCTTTTCCTTCCCTTAAAATTCCGCCGTGATTCCATTATCCCCTGCGTTTTTACCTTTTTAAACCATTTTATTGTTTCCTTTATTGCATGTTCTGTTGGCTCCTCTACGTATTGCTTATCATTATCCTCTGATTGGCCCATTGACTCATCTGTTTGCATCTGTTCTTCAGTATTTAGGCCCTCAAACAGCTGGGCTCATTGTGCCCATCTGTTTAATTTGTCCGCAGTATTTTCAAAGAGCAGTTCTTCTTTATTCCTACAAAAAATTGTTTGCTTGTTATTTGTTTGTCTGTTTCTCTTCACTTCTTGATAGAAATTTTTTATTTCTCTGCTAATATACTTGTCCCCTATTGTTTTTAATTTTCCTTCCAAATATTCTCTCTTTTTTGTCTGTAGGTTCTTTTAGTTTCTTTCCTTTTTGTCTCATGTTCTGTAATTGTTTCTTGGGTTCTATTATTGTCTTTTCCAACTTTGCCTTATTTCTTAGCATTAGTGCTCTTTTATATTCCTCGTCGAACCAGTCTTCTTCTCTCTTCGCTCCTGTATTACCTAACCAAACTGCTTAGGCAATACAGCAGAATTAGCTGCTTCTGTCGTTGATGTTTCGGTTTTACTCCATTCTTCTTCCAATGTATCAGATATTATCTACGTTATATAAGTTATCTACCTCTAATCTTGCTTTAATCTCATTTTCTAACCTCTTTGCGACTTGTTGGTCCTTAATTAAGACCACTCTTTCTGTCTTTTAAAACATTTAGTTTTACAGGTAGATCTTGTTGAAGTTTGGCAATTAAAAAATATAAATAAGGCTCCAAATAATTAAAGCAGAATAAAAAGACAACACATAATAAATAATGACAAAAAAGGCCAATTTGAGGGCCAAATGAAAAAGCGAATCTTCAACGCTTTAAATACAAAAAATAAAACGTCTACGTTTTCCTATAATACCGCACAAATACTTATTTTGAACCTTTGAACACCTCAAACATATCCATAACTTTTTACCTATGATTAAATAGTTTATGATTTCTTTATTTCTAGGGGAATAAATAATTTCAACAGCACTGATCCCCTACCCCCACAATTCACAATGAGATTGAGGGACCGAAGAATCGAAATCAGCTATCCAGTTAGATTGACTTGCCAGATTATTGGTTACCCAAGTCCCAATGTGAAATGGTACCACGATGGAAAACAAATTAAAGAAGATGGTAAGTACGGGTTATAAAAATGTAAATTTAGCTAATTATATTTTAGTCAGTATAATTCGATCAACACTAAAATAGACTTTAGAGCTAAGAATTCGTTTCTACACCGGTTTACAAAAGGAAAAATGTTTGGAAGTGCCTCTTAGACAGTGAAGCAACGTGTCGTCTTTTACTATATTCACTGCAGAATAATCGTACAACCTTAACTGATTTGAAAAGTTTCTCTATATTTAACTAACCACTAACTTTACAAGTAACAAAATCGGCTAGGCTAGCTGTATTTGGTTGGTTCCGAAGATTTTTGATATTGTTTTTACTTCAATTTTATTTTTTTTTATTGTAACTGTTCCTCATGAACGATGATAACGATGAAAGAAACGGCTCTAATTATGTTAACCCTTTACCACTGAATTTAGTTTTACATGTAAGAGTCTGAAACTATTCATTTTTCAACTATATATTTATAATCAGAATAATTAATTTAAACAAATTAGGTATATAATTAGTCGTAAAATTCATATTTGTCCGTTCTAAAGAGGTGGAAACTTTTGGCCCCAACAGTAGTTTTGACTGGGATTTTAAGGTCCCATCAGTAATAAAAAGAACAATTACAAAAAAAATTAATTAAGAAATAAGGTATAATTGAAACCCACTTATGAATGGAATGTTGAAAAACACTTTTTGCATAATGGGACATTGCATCCAACACATAAAGTTTGTGTACGGCTTTCCTTCTACTTTTGAGAACCACTGAAACATCTTCTTTTACTGCTAGTTTGTTTTTGAAGCTGATCTCCAATATTTGTTATATTTTTTTGCATTTTTGTGTGCCTACCTGGACGACCAGAGACTCTTCTTTCAATTTTGATTTTTTTATCAAAGTTTTTTGAAGTCACTTCAGTATTTTCTGAAAATAAGGCGAAACTGCGGCTATACTGATAATAAATAAGTGTACAGCATTTGTGAAAATATGATAATTCTTATGTCCATCTAGCAGCACATCTTTTTCCGCTGTTCTTCAGTTTTTTGAAGACTTTTCTGTGGTTTTTTAGAGATTAGAATACGATGCATATATTTTTGATCACTGATTCATATTCAACGTGCAAATATGTATCAAGAAAGTATGTTTCGGTTTTTCATAAATCAGTATTTTCATCTACTTGATTGTGAATAAGTGCGATTGAGCAACGTACACTGAGCATCTGAATCCAATAACTTCATAAGGCTGTAGCTTTAGAATAATAGTTTTTAAGACCTAGGTCCCATTGACACTGAGAACTATCATTAAATCAACTTTCGTTTATTTTGGCTGGGGTCGGTTTTCAATAAGGATAGTTGAGGAGTCCTTTATCGTATCCTTGATATGGTGCTTTAAGTTATTTAATCAGTTAGTAACTGTACTCTAAGGACTCTTTTAGAATACTATTCATTGCGCCAATTAAAAACACTAATAAATGTTATACATCTATCCATTCTTCTTATAAATCCTCTAGTTTACTCTATTCTTTCAAATGAATTCCGAGGCGCTTCTTACCGGTACTATGAATATATATGGAACTATTCTAGTAAGTTGCTGACCTTGCTAGAATAAAATTATTTTCAGACGTCTAATCTATTTTGCTGTACAGGTAATTTCATTTTCACTTAATATCTGTAGTTTAATTCATTTTTATTCTAGATCGCCATGCCTTCTCCACTGACGACAACTTCCAAACGCTGGAGATCATCAAATCAAACATGGATGATGCTGGAACCTACAGTATATCCGCAGACAATGATCACGGATCCGTCTCATGCCACTGTAATCTCGTCGTCGACAGAGGTATCAAAGACTACATTACCCCAGTTTTCGTCAGCCATGTCGAACCATCAGAAATTAAAGTGAAAGAAGGAGAAGAACTGAGGTTATCCGCTAGAGTTGAAGCATACCCTGGAGTTGGATTGACGTGGTATAAAGATGGGGTAGGTATATCACCATATTACGTTTACAACATACAAGTTTATACATAGCTATTATCTTTTAAATATTTTTGTTTAGTTATAAATGTAAATTTACTGTGTTGAAATATATTTAAGGTACGTCTGCGTCCCTCAAGGCGTTTTGTGATAACCCTGTCGTACGACGGAATTGTTCTGCTATCAATAGGAAAAATTCTTAAGAAAGACTCAGGACTCTACACTTGCGTATGCAGCAATGAAGTTGGACGGGCTCAGAGCACTGCCAGAGTTGAAGTTGTCGACGAATCCACTGATACACAGAACCAAACAGTAAAGATTAAATCAGATATTCCGTAAGTCCAAAAAATGAATATTAATACTAGATTTTGTTATCTTTTTATCATAATAACCGTCATCATTCTCTTTTCCTAGATTCTCATGCGTAATCTGTTTAAATTACTATATTTCTTTATATGATTATATTTTGGTTACTCCAACATTTATAAATTTGAGATCTGGATCTATCGAGGAATCACTAAATTCTCCTGAAGTGGTAAAACTAACTAAGAAGTAGTCGAAAAGGTGAACAAATAAAAAGAGATGATGTTGAGAATCAAATTAAGTAAACTTTAGTATCTGGAACATTTTATGTATGAACATAAATACCAATTGATTTTGTTACGATAAATTCGACACAGATTCCACATTGCAGTAGGAGGAAGATGTCTTGGTTAAGAAAACTCAGATAAAAGTTGGCTTGCAGTTCTATTGAAGCATTAAAATTAACGCCTTCGTAATGGGAATGACAAATGAAGAAGAGTAAGCTACAAAATATGTATATAAATGTTTCTATGTTTATTAAAGTCTATTTTATGCTGTATTAATTTAAAATTTAAATTTCCTATTGTTTTAGATATTCGAAAGAACCAAGATTTTTGAAAAAGCCCAGATCCACCGAGGCATTTGAAGGCGATAATATCATCATTCTCTGCGAAGTAATTGGAGATCCAAAACCAGACGTAATGTGGTTAAGAGACTTCCTAAAGGTAAGCTTTGAGTTAATTTTATCTAGATTTTTGATTTATATTGAAAAACGGTATTTTATGACTAAATTAAAAAAACATGATCTCAAACTGATACTACCGTAAAAAAAGTATTGAAATTATTGTAAACAGAATTGAAAATGAGTTGGTATGTGCTATTATAATACATTTATTCAGCAAATTCCCAACTGTAAACAAACGCACGTGTTGATATTCGCCCTCTCATTCGTGAAGAGGCTATTAAATAAAATTTATTGCCTTAAGCTAGACGGATTCTCATTTTAAAGGTACAAACTTCCCAGTCTGTTTAAATTCAAATTGTAGCATGTTGGTTTTTAAGTTATAATATTGTGTATTATATATTTAATAAATATTAAAATTTTTTTCCATTTTTTTTTCTGCTATAATACAATATTTACTTAAATATAAGGGTTAGTTTTAAGCTACAATTTATATTTACAGTTTTTGATATGTTCGTAAATCGATTTTAATATAGTGATATCTCTAGAGAAAATCAAAATGTTCAGGTAGACGGGACGTGGAATTTTTAATATAATAAGATTATCATAAAATTTGTTTATGTTTACTGATTCGTGGGAACATTCAAGGAAAATATGTAATAGGTTACCTTCTTTTCCGCACTTGCAATTAGGTGACTCCGCGAGACCCAACTTGTACATATGAAGGGGGGTAAGAGCATAATTAGATCTTAATCTGTTTATAACCCTTATGAAATGGCGATTTGATAGAGTATGAAACCATCTTTTCATGGGTATTTCAGGCTGCATTTGTTTGTGATTATTTCCAATTCTCGTGTTTCGATAATATGTTTGCCATTTTTCGTTTTGATGCCGTTTACTAATTATATCAATGTCTGAAAAGGGGAGTAAGTTCAAGGGAGCTTCTCCGCCTATGTCTAGGGCAGATTTGGCTAGGCTATCTGCTATTTCATTGCCCTTAATGCCCGCATGTTCCTTTATCCATGATATAATAATGTTTTTCCCTAAACTTGTAATTTTATTGTAAATAGTCATAATTTCTAGTTCTATATGATTTAGTTGTTTGGACCTGGAGAGAGTAATTAAAGAAGCGATGGAAGGAAGCAAGATTGGTCGCCAAGATGTCAACAGGATGCCATATTGGTGGAATGCGGACATCGAGGCACTAAGAAATGTATGTATAGCAATGAGAAAAAGGTTAACAAGAGCAAGAGGCAGAGCAGGAATCAATCCTGAGGTCATCGAGGAGATCGAGGAAGAGTACCGCGCAAGGAAGAGGGAACTGTACAGGAAAATTCGTACAGAAAAAAGAAAACACTGGAAAGAGCTGTGTGAAAAACTGGATGAGGACATATGGGGTCAGGGATACAAGATCGTTATGAAGAAGTTCCATGCGTATCCTCCTTATGAAATGCCTATGGACAAGAAGCTTGAGGTAACAAGAGAGCTCTTTCCGGACGGCAGATGTCATGGTGTATGGAGGGATGAAGGAGCTGAGCGGGCTGTACCCTTTACAATGGATGAACTTGTCGAGGCATTGGGTTCACTCAAGACTCGTAGGTCCCCCGGACTGGATCAGATACCACCTGAGGCCGTAAAGGGTCTAGGACGGGTGGAGCCTGCATGGCTTCTGGAACACATGAATGCATTGCTGGAAGCACAAACCTTTCCTGAGCCTTGGAGGACATCGAGGTTAATACTGCTTCCCAAAGCTAGGGAAAAGTATCGCCCCATCTGTCTTCTTCCATGCATCAGTAAACTCTATGAAAGGATACTGCGAGTACGCATAGACGACATAATTGAGAGGTCAGGTGGTTTATCTCGGAGGCAATTTGGTTTTTGTAAAGGGAAAAGCACGATTGATGCAATCATGAGTGTACTCGAAACATTGCACAACAGAGGGAATGAACATCGCTGGGCGGCCCTGCTGTTGTTTGATGTTAAGAATGCATTCAATACGCTGCAGTGGAACGAGGTAATGAAGGCAATGGAGGAGAGAGAATGTCCTGGTTACCTGATGAATGTTATGGCGGAGTATATGTCCGAGATAAGGATTATGGTGGAAAAGGGCACGATCGTAGACGTGACGGCCGGGGTACCCCAGGGATCTGTCTTGGGCCCGACGCTATGGAATCTGGCATATGACGGGGTTATGCACTGTGAATACGGAGAGGGTACAACCCCCTTCGCATTCGCGGATGACCTCGCTGTACTGGTAGTAGCCCGGGATGAGCCAGATCCCAAATACCGGGTTCGGAAAGCAGGTGGCGTCGTAAAGAAATGGATGACGCAGCACGGATTAAAACTTGCGACAGAGAAAACCGAAGCCATTATTCTGAAGGGGACAAGGAACAGGCAAGGTGTTGAATTAAAATGTGCGGGAGTATGTCTAACACCCAAGACACAAGTAAAGTATCTAGGAGTGACATTGCACCAGAATGGAAAATGGGGGGAACACGTTCGGGAGGTTGTCCGGAAGGCGGCGAACAGTGCGGCTGCGTTGGGAAGAGTGATGCCGAACATTGGAGGACCCAAATCCGAAAGGAGGAGGGCCTTACACGGTGTTGTACAGTCAATCGTTCTCTACGCAGCACCAGTCTGGAGCGAGGCGGTAGAGATAACGGCCTATAGGAGTCTTATGAAACGAGTAGACAGAATAAGTTTGTTGCGAGTGGCATGCGCCTACAGGAGTGTGTCTGCGGCAGCCTTATGGACTATCACTGGATGTGTTCCGTTGCATGTTTTGGCGGTGGAAAGAAAAGAGCTGTATGAGAGAAGAGGCCCAAACCTTACTGTGGCTGAGAGAAGACAGGTAAGGGAAAGGTCAGTTGAAAGATGGCAAGAAGAATGGAACAATACGGAGGATGTGGCACAGTGGACGAAAATGCTGATCCCTAACATAAGAGTTTGGGTGGACTGTGACCACAGGCGATTGGATTATTTCCTGACGCAGGTGCTCACAGGACACGGGTGTTTTAGTGCCTACCTTTATAGGATCGGTAAGGCTGATACAGATGAATGCCTATATTGTGGATACTCGGACACTGTGACACATACGATGTTAGATTGCAGCAGATGGATAGTGGAAAGGAACAGAATGGAGAGAGAGACAGGTGTGAATTTTGTTACAGTGAGAGAAATGATTGAGAGAATGATTGAAAATAAATTAGGTTGGATTAACATACACAGTTATATCCGTGCAGTGATCAAAAAAAAGGAAGAGGAAGAAAGACAGCTGGACCAACGGCAAAGGTAGAGTGAATGATGCTGAAAGGTGAAGTTAAAACAATGGGTCACACTTTTTGAGTTAGAATGCGTGAGTTTGACTGTGGGGAAGGAGGAAATGCCCTTCTGAGAATGATGCCGAACACGGAGTGTGGATGTGTATGAATGGAGAATGAATGAATAAAGGTAGTGCTTCGGAAGTGATGCTGGCCTTACAGCGGCCATTCCGCTTCCGGATCGCTGGATGACAGAGGAGGGTCTGGTTTAGCAGGTAGGCGTTCAGCGTAGACTCGGCGACGAGAGGGCATTTTAAAGTACCTCGGGAACTATCGCCGGGAGTACGAAGAACGAATCCTGCACTAAGGTCAGTCAGGCGGCGTCCTGGACTGAGATGTCTTTTAAAGATTCCAGACCCCCCCCCTCTATAAAGACGAAAAAAAAAAGTTGTTTGGACCTATGTACGTTTAGAGTTTAGTTTAAATGTTTAGTATTAAGTTTTATAGTGTAATGAACTTTTAGTATCCAAAAACAAAGTATGTGTTAATCAAAAGTAAAAATAGCTTGCGGTAATCACTTTAATAAAGGTAAGATAAACCAGAAAATTTATTGATGTTTCGAAAAGTTTTATTTCCTTTTTAGTCCATTTATTCAAATAGTTATATTGTGCTGATGTGTGCTTTTGCCATGGGGGTGAGTTGCACTCCTTCTCGGGTGTGAAAAAACATGCGTTCAAACGAAACCAAACGCGATCCAACCAAACAACTAACAGGAAGTGGGAGGTAGGCTGATCCAAATTTGGAGAGAACTAGACCAAAATGAAATACGGCAATTAATTTTAAGTATGGGCCAACGATGTGAGGCTGTTATATTTAGTAGAGAAGGAAACACTAGTTATTAAGACTTTTTTTATACTTTTGTTTACTTTTCTCATCATAATTTTTTAGATTTCCGTTTTATTTTTTTTTTCCTGTGCTTCAACATTTTCTAATGATTAGATAAATTGTTATAATTACTAATAAAATGTAGAATAAATCTGGTGAATTTTTATTTTTTATTCCTTGCGTGTTTACAAATAAAATTGATTTATTGAAGTGGTGCGTTAATTTCTTGGAGACGTGTATATAAACACTCACACACCTGTTTCTTGAGGACCAAAGATATTACATTTAACAATCACTGAGTTCTTTCTAGTCGTTAGCTATCAATAATTCGTACGTAATAACCTGTTTATGGTTTCGACATAATTATGAACAATTTGTGTCTATTAAAATCCATATTAAAAATAATTTCCGTTATAATACTGTATGTGGTCCAATTTGCCAGTCGTTTTTTAAATTATTATTAATGATATGTCACAGCTGAAACGTTGTTAATACGATTGCATTGTGTTTAAAATGGGTTTTGAAAGTAAGATAATATACAAATATTTCGACGTTAACTAGAACATCTAACTTATTAACGTAGAAGAATGATCTCTTGTATTTATAAGATAACAAATCAATACTTTTTGATTGTTTGTTTTTATTTAAACCTTTCAGTCACTCTACAAGAAATAATACAAATAAAAATTTGAAATTTGTCAGTTATTTTCTATTATTTCCTTAAAGATTTTTAAGCCATGATTTTTCTGAAGAATTTGGCGCTATAGCCGATCTGGTTTTTGATTCTATATAATAATGTAAAAAAGAAAAAGGACATTTACAAGGTCAGATGGGTTTCAAATGATGGAAGAACACGAAATTAAATAGATCATGTCCTTATTGACACAAGACACTCATT